TCCTTATGCTCTCTAATTGGGATCATAAGCTTGCTCGTTTGCTTGAGATCGCATGCATCAGATCGTTCAGATCACACGCCTCAAACTCTCAGGTCGAGCCCCTATCAAATCGCGATCAGTTTCTAGCTCTCAAATTGCGATCAACTCTTAGCTCTGAGATTGCGAATAGCCTCAAGTTGTGTTCTCAGCACTCAGATCGTGATCAGTTCTCAGTTCTTAGATTGAGACTAACTGCCAGCGTCAGAAAAAACGCATAGAAAACTCAAAACATCCCCAAAACATGCCAAAACGGTGGATTTTGGCCCCAAAAATGGTCCCAACTCAGTTTTGGGTTCTCTAGTTGCCATGACGTAGAACTCGGAACGAGCTTTCCATTGATATCTTACATGCTCCAAAAATTCTCCCGAATCAAAAGTTATGGTTGTTTTAAGTTGGCTTGTTCGTTTAAGGCCTCTAAGCCGTGCGTTTGGGCTTCTGACGTCAGCAATTTATCTACTAAACATTTTGTGTCAGTTGTTCGATCGCGCTCAATTTCGAATCGCTCCAAGCGCTCAGATCACAGTCCTAGCTCTCAGCACCCGATCGTGTCAGGCATAGTTCAAGCTCTTCAGTTCGAGACTATAGCCTATAGTGTGACAACCATTTCGATCTAAGACATGAGTTTTTGAAGCGCGATTACGCACTCCAAAAACTAGGGAGGTTCTGTTATGCCTAAAAAATCATACTAATGTCATCTCAACAAGTGCCTAAAAGACAAAGTGTACTAGTTGTCAAGCTCATACCGCCTCAAAGTTATTTTATACCAACCCTAAGTCATTTTAAGATAAGGATGAATGAGAGCTCTTCATGTGTCAAGACAACTTGCAAAAGCACTCATTACATCGACCTCAAAGGTGTATAAATGGGCACCTCTTTTCGTAAAAGAAGAGGCTGGGCATATGAGAGTTAGGCACATGAGAGCTTATTTTTCTCTGTAAACAATGTATTTCTCTATATTTGTACGCCTTACAGGCAATATCATGGAAATAATAAGAGAATAATAAAATAATTGTGAATGTAGGATTCGTTTTAAGCATCCGAACCACTATAAAAATCCTTCTTACCTATCTATTATTTATATTTCTGCAAACATATATAATCTCAGTACTATATTCAAATCTTATGAATCTATCACGTATAATTTCTAACACTCTCTTAGTACTTTATACGTACGAGTCGTTGGTGTCAAAATCAAACATCGACAAATATAAACTAAAATGACTCTCAAATACAACATGAATTGATTTATATTATAGAAAAAATAGATGAAAATAATGAAGAAAATTATGAAGAGATGGGGATGAAACAAAATAGAAGTCACTCAAACAGTCCAAATTAAAAACTGTGATATCGCTTTCTTCAGGTGGCTGGAGAGTACTTTGCTTACCAAAATCAACTTACATATTATAATATATGAATTAATTAATTATATTATAATATTTAAGAATTGAAGACTTTGACTGGGTCTAGAGGAGAGTATATATACATATAATTTGTTGTTTTCATATTGCTCCAACAATCAACCTCTATTAAATTAAAAATTAAACTAAACAGAATTTAATTTAATTATTAAAAAAAAAGTGAGCTAGGGTTAGAACTTGACTGACTGATAATACAATAATTAATTATTAGTAATTTTTTGTTGACCTTTACTTAAAGGGATTTTAACTAAGGTGGGTTTGAAAATTTGGGGTTAGGCATTAGGTTTAAATTAAAGTTAAAGTTAATGAAGAAACCTAGTAGGCTTTAGAAAAATTTGAAAATGCTTTAGATTAAGATACTTTGAATGGTTGAGATTTGATATAGTTTTAAAATTTTAATTATAATATCTAAGTAGTTTAAATACATCAATCTGAATACTAAAAAGTTGTGTCGAAACTTGTATAAAGAAATAGTAAGACGATTCTTAAAATTAATCATATGATTTTGACGGTGAAAATGAATCCACAAGGGGTTTAACCAAGCAGTCATGCAAGATTCGACATAAGCTTCATTTTAACTACTTCTAGGTGATCGAGTGGTTTAATAGGAGTCTTGAATGTATTATTCAAGAAATCATGAGTTTGAGTCCCTCTTCGGTACGTTGCTAATAGAGGTAGCCACTGGAGCTCTTACCCGATCGATAGTTTCAGGATCCCGAAAGATTAGTTAATGTGTGGATAAGTTGGCTCGAACACCTACGATCAATTAAAAAAAAAAAAAAAAAGAAGTTGGGGATTATAGATTATCTAAAGAGAAATTTTGTCGTTGAAAATGAGTGGTATGACACAACTAAATAATTCATCTAGCAAGCTAATTAATAAAGAGTCAATGAAGCTAATTAACTTGTATTATACGTTCTTGTATATATTTATATTTATGCATGCTCTCATCATAAAATCTAAGTCCTTGACCATTGAGAAAAAAATCTTTCTGTTTGTTGCAAAGTTCTGATCAAAGCCAAAACTACTAGGATTTGACATTAAAGAAAAAATTTCTCTCTTCAAAATACTAACCTATTTCCTTACATAATAACTTAAACTTAATTAGGCTCCCTAATTTGACCACTAATCAAATAATAGGCCTCCATTACTGGTGCAACTAATTGATGATGACCACAGCTCGGTTATGTTACCTTGCTTGTAGGGTTGTTTGTTTCCTCTGCAATTTGTAAGATTTTTTTTTTACCATGTTAGCTCAAAGTCATAGTTCATAAAGTCAAATTAATGATGACGGAGAAAAAAGTTACATAAAAAGGTCTCGTCAAATGGTCACGCTAACGTATGTGATGAATCTGTTTATGGATTATCAAAATATAATTATTTTAAAACCCGACTTATTGTGAGGCCCGATAAGGTGACCGGGTCACAGGTTGATCAGTTCAACTGGTTGGATCAGTGACATTAACAATAATTTTATTTTTTTAAAATTACAAATTAATCCCTTAAATTTTAGTGTATTACAAAATACCCCTAAAATTTTCAAATTAGTCCCTAAAATTTGTATTTATTTCAAAAATACTCCAAAAACTACCAATTAATCCCTAAACTTTTGACATATCTCCAAAATAGCCCTAAAAATTACAAATTAGGCTCTATAAATTTGAAATATTACAAAAACCTCCTAAAACTTGAATCGGACCGGAGAAGCTGATGGGTCCTGGTCAGACCAACAGGTCCATTTTGAGTTTTAAAACAGAGCAAAATATACAACTTATATGATTAATTTCAGTTGGACAACCACATTACGTCAGTATGATAACTTTGATGACATTGACTCTTGTAAATATTTCTTGATGGAGAAGATCTTATGTGTATCCTGTTACAATACAACTAGTCAATGAATTGATATAGCATACATAAAATACATGTATTTTACTCTCGTCTCTCCTGACTGCTTGTATTATAACAAAATATATATAGGATTTTATCGAGGTTGTGATTTTTAACATAAATGTTACTGTGGTGAATTCTGTTGTGGCTACAAAACTAGACTTATAAGAATTAATGTGGCAAAAATACACAAGGAAGCTGTAGCCAGGTAACGGATACCAAACTCCATAGAAAATCAAAGCAAAGACAAGTCTTATTAAAACAGAAAAGTGGTCTCCCAGAATCACCATTAGTGCCATGGTCCTGCTAGCTTTACTGTTCTATATACTATACGTAACTGTATTATCAACACTGGTCTAGTAAAGTAGCTCAAAAGTTGAGTTTAAGAAATAGTTCTTCCCCCACAAAGTTAGGCATGTACAGGAGCATTAAACTTTTTGTCCCAAGATTTTCTAAAGAGGACCTTACACCATTTTTTTTTTTTTTTTTTTTCCCCCTTTAAAATGATAGGGGGTAGATCATTGCCTAAAGCATTTTTGAACCCCTATCCTGTTCCCAAAGATCAAACATGTGGCCAACCAAAGAAAGTGAGGGGTGGGTCATTGCCCAAAACATTTTCGAACCACTATCCTACCCCTAAGGATCAAACTCGGGTGACCTGCCAAAGAAGATGGTTCAGCGACCTAACTTTAAGTCTTTTACAATCTCAGGCTCAGCATTTAGATTCTGTTCATACTAATTCATACAAACGGATACAATAGCCTCATAAGCTGACCCTCATCATCCATTTTATTTTGTTTTATGTATCTTTGATCTTAGGTTCCTCAATTATTTTATAACATGCCAGTTTATATGAACTAATTTGTATGCATAGTATAATTCATTTTTAACCGATGTTTTAAAACTACGTCCGGCCCGGCCGGTTAAACCAGGACCCGCGGCCTTCACAGGGCCAGGTTAGCAATTTTTCTATTTATCGAAAACCTTAAAAATTAGAACGGTGATCAGCGAACAATTAAAGGCTGCGATGTTGGGGCTTTCGAAGAGGAATGGTTAGGGAGTGCAATGGTAGCGACAGAGGTGATTTTCAGTGAGTGAATCGACCAGAAATCGAAAAAAACCCATGGCAACAACAGTTGGCTTTTGCTGACCATTGGTGAGGCGAACAGGAGTGGGGTGAGATAGGTTTTGGTTAGGAGGATGAGGGGAGTATTTTCGTGGTGATAGGGAGGGTTGTCGACGCCAAGGTGGTGAGATTTGGCCTAGGTTGTTGATGGTGAGATCTAGCCGAAATCGAACCGATTTCGACTAGATCTTGGATAAATTTTCTAGGGAATGACTCAGAGGATGATTGGAATTACATTTGGTATGTCGCCACCGCCAACTAATCGATCGCCAATTTGTATTTGAAGTGTATTTGCTAAATTTTAAACCTATAGGAACTCAACTGTAACTTTTAAAGGTGTATTCGCTGAATTTTTAACTTTTGGCCACCCAGTTTGATCGACCGGTCAACTCCAGCAACTTTGCCAGGTTTTACTTGGGTTGGTTATTAGAACACTATTTGTAACTATTTAAATGAATGAAACACACCAAGAATTTGGTACCTTCATCACAGTAAATTAGAAAAGAGATCCTGAGTACAAGAAAGATTGCAAAATTGGCTTACATTAAACAAAAATATAGATTATGATAAGTAATATTACAAAAGAAGGTTAAAGTGTTACGCTGCTAATTTAAGTAAATATTACAAGGTTGCCATCAACATGGCTCGGATTTTTGCTCTCAAATCATCAGGAACTTCATTAGTTGAGTTGGAGGGCTGAGATGAAGCCCTTCCATCATGATTTGATTTTGATAAATCCACAGAAGGTTCCCTACTAGCATGATATGATTTTGATATATCCACAGAAGTTTCTCTACTACGGGCATTGATATTGCTTGCTTTTGATTGATCTGATTTAATCTCCCCTTCCTCCAAGTCCATTTCTCTTTCCGAGTGAGACCTCTTCCTATGCTTATGACCTTTGCTTCGGTGTCTGTGCTCCTCATCAGAGGAGCTATATTTGTGTTTGCTTCGATGTCGACGACGGTGGTGCTCATCGTCAGAGGAGCAACCATGCTTGTGTCGAGATAGAGAATGGTGATGCTCATTGTCGCAGGAGCTATCACGCTTCTGTAAATCCTTGGACTGTTGAGATTCATCATCAGAGGATTTATGTTGCTTATGCCGATGTCGTGAGTGCCGATGCCGAGAATCTCTGTCCTTCGAAGAGGAATGTCTTTTTCTGTCCCTGCTGTGGTGTGAAGATCGACGATAATGCTGTTTCTTTTTAGAGCGCTTGTGATCATTTTCTTCCTTTTCTTCTTCTTCTTCCTCCTCTTCTACATCCCTATTAGATCTTGAACGATACTTCCTCTTTGAACGTCTTTCACTATCTTCACCAATATCTTTCATTTCAACGTTCTCATTTTTGTCAGAAGTATCAACATCAACTGGAACTGAACTGCCCTCTCTTTCTTTGCCCAAGAGATTTGCAAACTCAGCACCTGACCCAGAAAACCCAGAATCTGGAGGTTCTACAGATAACCCGCGCAATGTTTCATCTTTTGAAGGTGCTGCTTTACCTTTAATCATGGCAGCAAACACCTTTGCCCGCTTTAATCTCTCAGCCTTCAACTTCTGCTCTTCTGTCAAGCTGGCTTCGGATGAGTCAGCCTCACTTGCAGCTGCAATAGCAGCTGACTTTGCGATAGCATTCGCAACAGGGACAGGAATACTTGGCTTCCCCTTCTGATCCAGCAACTGTTTAGAGCTCTGAGGCTGAGAAGCCTGTCCACCCTCACTGCTAGGGCCTTGACTGGAACCATTTAAAGATGTCTTTGATAGAATATCTAGATTGGGGTTTCTAATGCCTCGTGTCGCTGCCTGAAGAATGGCAGCAGCTGCAGCTGCATCCATAGTGACACCAACATTAGGCTGGGTGACTTTTGAAGGTTGTTCTTGTCCATCCTTCTTTGACTTGCTTATTACCATCTTAAACTTTTCCTTCTTGTCAGAATCATAAGGTATATCAGATCCTAAGGATAGTGTATCACTCTCTTTGGATATAGCCTTTTTCTTGTCCACCCCCAGCCCTGTTGAATCATGCCTATCAGAACTGGAACCCTTGCCAGGTAACTTTGACTGTAAACCAATGATAAACAACATATCAGCAAAAAGAAGGGAAAAGAAAATTCTTGGACATAATGAAATTTTGGACAAATTCTAAGGGTAGTCATAGCACATGGAATTTGGAATGTGAAGATCTTAAACAAATAGATGACAAACTTGTGATAAAATAATTCATGATTAGAACAGAAAACATAACATCAGAGAAACTCACCTCTTCAGATTTATGAAGAACTTTAAGATAGTAGGGATAATACAAATTTGATGGCAGAAGAAAGGGAAATCTTCCATATGTACGATCCTGTTCGACAAGAATGGTCTCAAATTCTTTCCCGTTTCTGAGGATAAATTCAACTATCTTATCAACCGCTCTCTTCATATCAGATGGAGGCTCCACAACTGGTAATTCAACCTTGGGCATGCTTGGTGAAGCAGAAGCTTGTAACTTATCAGCAGCAGGGCAAAGTGAAGCCAAGTCACCTTCTTTTTTCGTCCCACTTGAAGTTCTAACCTTTACCGCGCTAATGGATTGGTTTCTTTTTATCAAAGGAGCTTTTTCTTTTGAAGAAGGAAGTGAATGCCTAGAAACTTTCTCATCTTTCCTAGCCATATCTCCAGGCAATTCTGTCTGTTTGGAACCCTTTGAAATGGCTGCATTAACAGAATCAGAAGCGCTCCCAGACTCGTTTCTTTTAAGTTCTGGGGTATCCTCAGCTCCACCATCCTCATCCTCCCCAGAACCGTACACAGAACCAAGCAAAGACAATGCACCACCTCCTCCAATACCACTGGCTTGATCAAGCCCACTTTCATTTTTGTTTTCTTCACTCAGAAGATCTGAGTTATCAACGAGAAACCTAAAGTATGAATGCAGATGATGATCAGGCATCAAGAACCCAAAAGTTGGGTTGTCTCCTTGTTTGACCCTCAAAACTATTTCACATTGCCCACCATGCTTGCTTACAAACATAGCAGTCCTTGCAATGATTTGATGTAGCTTCTCTGTTGGTGGCTGAAAAAACAAATAAAACAATATGTCTATCTCAATACTATCAAACATAAACCAGAAATTCAAAAACCAATAAAGTCTAACAAGATATCCCAAGTGAAAAAACCAATCAAATCTCACTTATATTAAGATAACCACAAAGATCAAGAAACAGAACTCTACGAAGATATGTATCATCCCATTTGCTCTCAAGGGTTAAGATTTGTGAAAGCAACAAATTTTTATCATCCTAATCCCACCTGCACGGCCCCTTGTCATGACATCACAAGGAAACAAGGAGCCCACGAATGGCAACCTTGGGTCACAAGAACTTCCATCTCTGCTCCAAGTATCTGAAACTTAGACATGGTAAGCCTTAGAATAACAAATGCACCTTTCACAACTATCATTCGGCCAATCTGGTTAAGTATCAAACAGACAATTATATGCTGACAACATCGAAAATCATGACATAAATAGAAATCATCCCATCTACTTACTAGGTTTTGAAGTAAACTTTCTGGCACTGGGAAGGGTGGCCGAAACCCAGACTCAGCATCAGCATTTCTTTCACCGGTGGATTCACCAGTGTTTCCATATGAAAAGGGAACAGCATTATAGCCACCGTCATTCACAGGTCCGGCTCCATCATCCAAATCTGGAAATAAAAAGAAAAGTAGAGTTAACAACCGATCTTGAATACAACCATTTTACCTTTAATGGTACTAGCAAATAGCAATCCATATCTGCAAAGAGCCCAAGAAACTTAAAGGAAAAGAGATGAGAATATTCTTACTTGTCTCTCTGAAAGATGAAACTGTTGGAAACTACCATTCTTCCTGCAACTTTTGAATATTGACGAAATAAATAACATCCACACAAACTAAAAACTAAGCTCCAAATTTTTGGCCTGATAATGCATTCAAAAGCGACTTCTGTAAAAGAAATATCGACTATGTTTCTTCATTAAGCCTGGCTTCACACTTTTAATAAAAATAACTAAATGTAACATAAAATTCAAAAATTTCTTGTCTTCCTAGTTCCCATTCCATACAACCAAACAAGTACAAATAACGAAATGACATGAAACATAAACTGAATATTTTGTTTTCTTTTCAATCGTATTCTCAGTCGCCAAACAAACGGCCCAAGAGAATATCAATTTTAACACTGACCGATACATTTCACTTTAACTGATTGTAACACTTCAATAATGTGACAAATAAACAAATGACATATTCTTTTTATATACAACAATTAAAGCACAAAAATAACACTTTCATTAAAACCCTAATTTACACATAGAACTTCAAAAATGCAATACTTTGATATAAAAAAATATATACTATTGACGTGTAAAGTACTACCTTGTTTGTCTTCTGCTGACGGGGAAGGTAAATCGAGGTATCTTTCGTGATCGAGCTCCGATTCCGACGGGGAATCCGGATGACGTGAAGGCGAGAGGCGGCGCTTGACACGAGGCGGAGGAGCAGAGAGGAGATGGCGGACGTCGTAACGGTCGATGGAGAGCGAGTTCCACTCGACCAAGGCGGCCGCGGAGTTCACGAACGATGCGTTGGTGTCGTCGTCGAAGAGTAGCGCGTGGCGGCCAATCACCTCCAGATCCATCGATTGAATTTTTTTTTTTTTCCGTTCGATTGGAGCGTGGGAGAGGGAGATTGAATGGAACCCTACGTTTTAATTTTACTTCTACAGAGAAACGGTCAAATAGGCGGTTTTTATTATCTTCTTCGTCTACAAGGAAAGGTGTAACCGTGTAAGTCGATTTTGCGAGGGGAAGTATCCAGATATAGCAAAGTTGGGGGTCCATTAAAAATCAAAAGGTTAGGGTGACTTGAAAGAAACTAGCCACATAATGAATTATAAGGTCCTTCGTAAAAAATTCATCATGCAAAACTGTACATTTCATCGAGAGTATTCACCACATGATAGAAAAACCATCCCAACCACTTGACTTGTGTGGTCTGATTCCAAGACCTTAGGTTATTTAGAGATTTTATGTTCGAATTTTACGAAGTATCCATCTGTGATTTACTAACCTTTTAAGTTTATAGAGTATTCAATAGATCGGAACATCCCGCTTACAAAAAAAAGAAAACTCATCTTGAAAACAAATTAAGAAAACAAAGTTAACATTGAATTTGAATCCATACTTGCAATAAAAACAAAATTAAGAAAACGAAGTTAATATTGAATTTGAATCCATATTTGCAATAAAAACAGAATCAAGAANATTGGTGGAGCCTCCAAACGTGGGTATGGTTTCTCAAACCTTGAACTGAATTTTTGCAGATTTGATTATTTTATATAAACTGTGATTTTTGTACTCGGATCTTGGTTCTAAGGAACGATCCATAGAGTTTATGTTTTTGTTTTCCGCTGCGTAACCGGGTCGTTTCCTAACATCCATCACGTGTAATTTCTAAGACTCTCTTAGCACTTTGCAAGTGCGAGTCGTTGGTGTCAAAATTAAGCATCAATAGTTTGGTGGCCCATGTAGGTCTCGAACCTGCATCCAAGCTCTCAAATTATGTGGCTAGATCATGGATCGCACACATCAAAGCTCTCAGATGCGATTGCACGCATTAGAGCTCTCAGATGGCGTGGTTAGATCACAGATCGCACGCATCAAAGCTCTCAGATGGTGCGGCTAGATCGCAGATCGCATGCATCAAAGCTCTCAGATGGTGTGGTCAGATCACAGATCACACGCATCAGAGCTCTCAAATGGCGTGATCAGATTGCACGTATCAGAGCTCTCAAATCGCATGTCCAGATCGCAGATCGCATGCTCAAATCGCTCATTCAAGATCGCTGAGATCACGCACTCAGATCGCTTAGATCTCTAGCTCTCAGATGGCTTGATTAGATCACACACATCAGAGCTCTCGGATCGCGTGGCTAGATCGCAGATCGCACGTTCAGATCGCGAGTTCAAGATCATTGAGATCACACACTTAGATTGCCCAGATTGCGTGCTCAAATCATCCAGATCGCGCATTCAAGATCGTTGAGATCATGCGTTTAGATAATTTAGATCGCATTTTCGAGCAGCCAGATCGCTGATCTCGAGTTCTCAGATCAAGCTTCGCGCTTTCTGATCGAACACCTTGTGTTCTCAGATCATGCTTTGCGCTTTCTAATCGAACACCTTGTGTTCTCAGATCAAGCTTTGCGCTTTCTAATCGAACTTCTTTTGTTCTTAGATTAAGTTTCGCGCTTTTTGATCTATCTCCTTTTGTTCTCAGATCAAGCTTCGTGCTTTTTGATCGCCCCTTCTGTTCTTAAATCAAGCTTCACACTTTCTAATCGAACTCTTTGTATTCTCATATCAAGCTTCGCGCTTTCTAATCGATCTCCTTTTGTTCTCAGATCAAGCTTCGTGCTTTTTGATCGAACCCCTTCTGTTCTCAGATCAAGCTTCACGCTTTCTGATCGAACTCTTTGCATTCTCATATCAAGCTTCGCGCTTTCTAATCGATCTCTTTGTATTCTCATATCAAGCTTCGTGTTTTCTGATTGAACTTCTTCTGTTCTCAAATCAAGCTTCGCACTTTCTAATCGAACTCTTTCTGTTCTCAGATCAAGCTTCATGTTTTCTGATCGAACTCCTTCTGTTCTCAGATCAAGCTTCCGCTTTCTAATCAAACTCCTTCTGTTCTCAGATCAATCTTCGCCATTTCTGATCAAAGTCCTTCTGTTCTCAGATCAAGCTCTGCGCTTTCTGATCAAACTTCTTGTAATCTTAGATCATGCTCCTTATGCTCTCTGATCGCGCTCTTTATGATCTCAGATCGAGCTCTTTATGCTCTCTGATTGAGCTCCTTATGCTCTCTGATTGAGCTCCTTATGCTCTCTGATTGGGCACATAAGTTCGCTCGTTTGCTTGAGATCGCATGCATCAGATCGTTCAGATCGCACACCTCAAACTCTCAAGTCGAGCCCCTATCAAATCGCGATCAGCTTCTAGCTCTCAAATTGCGATTAGCTCTTAGCTCTGAGATTGCGAATAGCCTCAAGTTGTGTTCTCAGCTCTCGAATCGTGATCAGTTCTCAGTTCTTAGATTGAGACTAACTGCCAGCGTCAGAAAAAACGCATAGAAAACTCAAAACATCCCCAAAACATGCCGAAACGGTGGATTTTGGCCCTGAAAATGGTCCCAACTCGATTTTAGGTTCCCCAATTGCCATGACGTAGAGCACGGAACGAGCTTTCCATTGATATCTTACAGGCTCCAAAACTTCTCCCAAATCAAAAGTTATGATTATTTTAAGTTGGCTTGTTCGTTTAAGGCCTTTAAGTCGTGCGTTTGGGCTTTTGACTTCAGCAATTTATCTACTAAACATGTTATGTCAGTTGTCAGATCGCGCTCAGTTTCGAATCGCTCCAAGTGCTCAGATCATAGTCCTAGCTCTCAGCACCCGATCGTGTCAGGCATAGTTCAAGCTCTTCAGTTCGAGACTGTAGCCTATAGTGTGACAACCATTTAGATCTAAGACATGAGTTTTTGAAGTGCGATTACGCACTCCAAAAACTAGGGAGGTTCTGTTATGCCTAAAAAATCATACTAATGTTATCTCAACAAGTGCCTAAAAGACTAAGTGTACTAGTTGTCAAGCTCATACTGCCTCAAAGTTATTTTATACCAACCCTAAGTCATTTTAAGATAAGGATGAATGAGAGCTCTTCATGTGTTAAGACAACTTGCAAAAGCACTCATTACATCGACCTCAAATGTGTATAAATTAGCACCTCTTTTCATAAAAGAAGAGGCTGAGCATATGAGAGTTAGACACATGAGAGCTTATTTTTCTCTATAAACAAAGTATTTTTCTATATTTGTACGCCTTACAGACAATATCATGGAAATAATCAGAGAATAATAAAATAATAGTAGATATAGGATTCGTTTTAAGCATTCGAACCACTATAAAAATCCTTCTTGTATATCTATTATTTATGTTTCTGCAAACATATATAATCTCAGCACCATATTTAAATCTTATGAATCTATCACGTGTAATTTCTAACACTCTCTTAGTACTTTGTACGTGCGAGTCGTTGATGTCAAAATCAAGCATCAACAAATATAAACTAAAATGACTCTCAAATACAACATGAATTGATTTATATTATAAAAAAAATAGATGAAAATTATGAAGAGATGGGGATGAAACAAAATAGAAGTCACTCAAACAGTCCAAATTAAAAACTGTGATATAGCTTTCTTCAGGTGGCTGGAGAGTACTTTGCTTACCAAAATCAACTTACATATTATAATACATGAGTTTGAATTAATTAATTATATTATAATATTTAAGAATTGAAGACTTTGACTAGGTCTAGAGGAGAATATATATACATATAATTTGTTGTTTTCATATTGCTCCAACAATCAACCTCTATTAAATTAAAAATTAAACTAAACAGAATTTAATTTAATTATTAAAAAAAAGTGAGCTAGGGTTAGAACTTGACTGACTGATAATACAATAATTAATTATTAGTAATTTTGTGTTGACCTTTACTTAAAGGGATTTTAACTAAGGTGGGTTTGAAAATTTGGGGTTAGGCATTAGGTTTAAATTAAAGTTAAAGTTAATGAAGAAACATAGTAGACTTTAGAAAAATTTGAAAATGCTTTAGATTAAGGTACTTTGAATGGTTGAGATTTGATATAGTTTTAAAATTTTAATTATAATATCTAAGTAGTTTAAATACATCAATATGAATGCTGAAAAGTTGTGTCGAAACTTGTATAAAGAAATAGTAAGACGATTCTTAAAATTAATCATATGATTTAGACGGTGAAAATGAATCCACAAGGGGTTTTAACCAAGCAGTCATGCAAGATTCGACATAAGCTCCATTTTAACTACTTCTGGGTGGTCGAGTTTTTCGATAGAGGTCTTGAGTGTATTATTCAAGAAGTCCTGAGTTTGAGTCCCTATTCGGTACGTTGCTAATAGAGGTAGTCATTGGAATTCTTACCTAGTTGGTAGTTTCAGGATCCCGAAACATTAGTTGAGGTGTGGATAAGCTGGCTCGAACACCTACGGTCAATAAAAAAAAAAAAAAAGAAAGTTAGGGATTATAGATTATCGAAAGAGAAATTTTGTCGGTGAAAATGAGTGGTATGACACAACTAAATAATTCATCTAGCAAGCTAATTAATAAAGAGTCAATGAAGCTAATTAACTTGTATTATACGTTCTTGTATATATTTATATTTATGCATGCTCTCATCTCAAGTCTAAGTCCTTGACCATTGAGAAAAAAAAATCTTTCTGTTTGTTGCAAAGTTCTGATCAAAGCCAAAACTACTGGGATTTGACATTAAAGAAAAAATCTCTCTTCAAAATACTAACCTATTTCCTTACATAATAACTTAAACTTAATTAGGCTCCCTAATTTGACCACTAACAAATAATTGGCCTCCATTAATGGTGCAACTAATTGATAATGACCACGGGTCCGTCACGTTAC